GTAGCTCCTTACATGTTTGTCTTTTTGTGATATTGGATTTATAAAAGTGCATCTGGAATGGAATTCTTTCACCTTGTTGATGAAGTGGGAGGTGGTTTGCCTTCGTCTTTCTTTCTTTCTTCTTCTTCTTTTTTTTCTTAATCGATATATTAAGCTTTCACGTTTCAATTTTTATGTTATTTTCTGAGAAAAAATAATTTTTTATATTTATTATTTATACGTCTGTTTAGCTTTCATTCGTCATCTAAACTACATTAAAAATTACAATCTGTCTCTTACGAGAAGAGAGCATTGATGAATTATGTTTGAGAGCTTAAAATAGCGTTTATCTTCAGTAAAATGAATTATAAATCATCCCTTTAACTGAATTTAACTATAAATCGTCCTTATCATCTAATAAACTTAGAAATTTATACGAGTTTAACTAAATAAATGCATTAAATTGTATCCATCTCGATTTGACTTTGATGAAAAATCCGCATCTTTTTTTTAATGATGTATACGATGATGATAGGATGATAAACTATTATAATTTTATTTAATTACCAGTTTATGCTTCAATTTACTAATTTTACACAGTTAAAATAATGAAAAACGGAGACTTATATTGTTAAATTTAAGCATACAAGTCGACCCTCCCCTATAACACTGTTGATTTTTCCGTTTTATATGAATTCCATGTTGTACGAGTCACTTAGATTTTACAAATACGTGAGCCGTTCACAGCCCGGTACACGTATTTGTAAAATCTAAGTGACTCGTACAACATGGAATTCATATAAAACGGAAAAATCAACAGTGTTGTAGGGGGTCGACTGTATTATAGTATCTCAGTGACTCGTAGATATGATTTTAAGGATTAAATACATAGTTAGATCCATCTATATGTGTATAAGTAGTATTTAGATAACTCTTCGAGGTAATATAAACTGTATTTTATTCATTAAAACCCCCCTTTCTTAATTAATGATAGTCGTATTTGTTACTGTAGCAGTACGTTATTTATCCTCAATTTTTTTTCTTCAAAATTTTTTATGCTATTAATCTTTAAATTATATTTATTATAAGAACGAAAAGTCGAAACTATTTAAGTATGACAATACCCGGAAGTAATAAATGTGCCAATATATTTCTCATCTTGTGCATTCCAAGACATTTTGGAACCAAACTATGACAGCTCATATATATAAATATATATTTTTATGTCAGATGTTTTCTTTGTTTTTGACAATTCTACCTAAAAATAAAGTGCATGTTTCATGCATTGTTAAGTCATGCTACACTAACTCTATGTAGGGACAATGACCCGAAAGTCGTCGTCCCTCTTAAAAGATATAGGAAGAAACTATGTGAACTAGCACAAATAAAAATCGAAAAAAAATATATATATATATTTCAGTGTGAAAAACTGCTATTTTTTTTAGTAAATTTAAGGTTATAATATAGTAATTTTACACTATTTTTATACGAAAAAGTACAGTAAATTGTTATGAAGTCGTGTTGTTCGGTACCTTTAATTGAACGTCTACAGTACTAAAAGTATTGATATTACCTTAATATTTTTAGGGGTTTTAAAGTTATTAAAGTTAGTTTTATTCACCCATAAATTTTCATTAAAATCGAATGAAAAGATTTTTTATTTATGAAGATAATTTATGTAAATCGGACTATAACGCGCAGTTATAAATGAATTTTAAAGAAATCGATTTATAAATTAAATATTCGTAAATTTCTTAATTTTCTATGCTATTTTGATAATAAAACAAGCATTTTTAAAGCAATTTTTAAGGTAGAAGATTTAATTATAATCGAGTTAATTATTATTATTATTATATGATTGAAATGAAATTGGGATGAGATAGTGTATGTATGGATTAAGTGCAGCGGATGTTCGACCACTGATGACGTTCAGGATGTGAAAAGAACGGAAGGTATGTCTCCTTCCTCCACTGGATGCTATTGTTTTACATGGCAATGTCGCGGACATTGTTAGCTGAGTCACTGGTTAGTGGAGAAACGACTTTCACTAAAGAGAGCAACTCGAAGAGGGAGGAAATGAACGGCTGGCTTCTGAGCGTTTCCTGTATGTGCAGCCGAGACGCCAACCGTACATCAACGTCAAACGGTGATGGAGCTGCTAGTGCTTCGGTCGAATTGGCCATTTTCGTCAGTCCTCTATAGACCCGTCCCATTGCTACCCCCCCCACGACAAAGAAATTGCAGAGGAAAGGTTTTCGCCTTCATTCAAAGCTCCTGGCCTCTACACAACTCAACCTCCCCAAAAACCCTCCCTCACTTGATCGACACACTCGCTACTGGTCGCTTGTTCCACTGGTCCTTTAGGTGACGCGATTTCGACATTAGGACCCACTAGAAATGCTTTTATCTGATAAATTCGCTTTGAATGTTGTATTGTGATAAACTGCCGATTTTCCTAGACAGAAAGGTGTTTTTCTATACGCTTTTTTTTATTTTATATATATATATATATACACGCAGAGACTTGGAATTTTTACTTTGAAGTTTTATAAACTTTTTGCTATATTTTATCTTATTTTTTCTTAAGAAAGTGAAGTGTAATGTGTCACAGTTAACCGTGACTTTATGTATATAAATATTAAAAGCGTGTCCTGTAGAAACGAAAGAAAGATAATTCTAACAATGGCGATCACCCCACTTCACTTAATTAACTCATCCCTGTGGGGATGATCTAACTCCTCTTGTTTATCTCCCGAATGGAATCCTATCTTTCTGTTTACTCGTGTTATTTCTCATTTATTATCGTCCTGTTTCTCTTAACGCCAAACACTTCTTCTTCTTCTTCTTCTTCTTCTTAATTACTTCCTACCGCACGATTCTGCACCCGAAAACATAAATTTTTTATCGATGTAACACACAAAAATACTTGATTTTTTATGTATTCATCAGCTAAATATTCATACGTGATCGATTGTTAATGAGAAAACTTTACTTACGATTCGCGTAGAGATCATCTTAAATAACGTTCGAGTCACAAAGTCGCGGTTTTTCTATTATCCTTTATGACTTAATATAGTTATTTACGTGTAAATTGTTTCGATAACTTGAAAATTCTCTATAATATATTGTCAAAATTGTGTTGTTTTTACAACAAAAAAACAAGGCTTGTAAAATACCGATACCAAGATCACACCTTCATAAGTTCGTTTATAATTAAATTATCCTTAAGGATAGAATCTTTAAGGATAATTTTACATAATCGTACACATCTTTTACGTGTTAGACACGTCCAACATTCTTAAAAATTGATCCTGAAGAGGAATCACATGTTACTTACTACATCATAGCTTTGTAACAGAACAAGCTTATTTACACCCTTTTAAATGTAAATTTTTGTTTCATTACTCCTCACGAAAGATAACCCTTTACACAATTGTTCGTAACTTTAAATATTACGTCTATCTTTCGACCCGTTACGTCTCTCCCGTAACGAGAGATAGTTACACATCTCTAATCCTCGTAACTGGATAAATAATAACAGGAGTCATCATTGATTTGGTCAACATTACTTTTATTGTTAACGTCTTTTGAGCGGCTAACAGAAAACGCCAAGAAGAAAAGATAAATGACCTATATCCATTCAGAAATGTTATCGGTAGAAGTCACCAGAAAACTAATTAAATTCTTAATTTTTAATTACTAAATTTTAATAATAATAATAATAATAAAAAATTATTATAACACAAAAGTATTGTATAAAAAAAATAATAATTTAAACTTACGTAATATAGTAATTTTACACTATTTTTATACGAAAAAGTACAGTAAATTGTTATGAAGTCGTGTTGTTCGGTACCTTTAATTGAACGTCTACAGTACTAAAAGTATTGATATTACCTTAATATTTTTAGGGGTTTTAAAGTTATTAAAGTTAGTTTTATTCACCCATAAATTTTCATTAAAATCGAATGAAAAGATTTTTTATTTATGAAGATAATTTATGTAAATCGGACTATAACGCGCAGTTATAAATGAATTTTAAAGAAATCGATTTATAAATTAAATATTCGTAAATTTCTTAATTTTCTATGCTATTTTGATAATAAAACAAGCATTTTTAAAGCAATTTTTAAGGTAGAAGATTTAATTATAATCGAGTTAATTATTATTATTATTATATGATTGAAATGAAATTGGGATGAGATAGTGTATGTATGGATTAAGTGCAGCGGATGTTCGACCACTGATGACGTTCAGGATGTGAAAAGAACGGAAGGTATGTCTCCTTCCTCCACTGGATGCTATTGTTTTACATGGCAATGTCGCGGACATTGTTAGCTGAGTCACTGGTTAGTGGAGAAACGACTTTCACTAAAGAGAGCAACTCGAAGAGGGAGGAAATGAACGGCTGGCTTCTGAGCGTTTCCTGTATGTGCAGCCGAGACGCCAACCGTACATCAACGTCAAACGGTGATGGAGCTGCTAGTGCTTCGGTCGAATTGGCCATTTTCGTCAGTCCTCTATAGACCCGTCCCNCCAAACCAGTTTTAAGTGAAAGGTTTTATTTTTATTTATAAACCTCTGCTGTAGACTAAGGCCTGGAATTATGAGTCTATGGTTTAAGGCCTCGTATTTTTACATGAGGCGTTATTTGATGGAGAGAAAGGGCTTTTTTATAGGGTCACAATAAGACTAAGTAGGTAAGGAGTACCTATAATCAGCCCTTAAATACTTATGCACGTTCTGATTTACTAACTTAAAGATTAAATTTATTAAGCTGTTTCTAAGAAAATTTTCTCTTTAAAACCGGTATTAATGTATTAAAAATCACCTTCAGACGTTAAATTTTTAATAAAATATGAATAATTAAGCATAAATTTACTTAAAAAATTACTGCTTTAACTCGTGTTAATTAATACAGAAAAGTACGCATTATACGTTCGATTTATCTGTAAAATTTGTGTATAAAAATCACAAGGATTTAATTACCAGGTCTAGATTTATCGTTATAAATATGTATACATATACGTGTTTTAAAAACATAATTCTCCACATTAACTTATCGGTTTTTCGCTTCTTTTATTTATTTATGAATATAAATATTGTGACTATAATCATGACTACAGGATCAGTGACTAGCGCCCAGAATTGGGTTCAAAATGATCTCGACCCCTAGTTTTTTTTTTTTTAAGAAAGAGGAAGGTAAGGGGGGGGGCTTTTGATAGCTAAATTATAAGCTTGTTTTGATCGAAGCTATACGAATTTTGAGCCCCTCCCTCCCTAGGTATCGCTTAAAGTATAGTAAAAAGTAATAGAAGTCCACCCCCTTTGTGGAGGCTTTTAAAGGAGAAGAATATATCTAAAAATAATTAAAATAATTCTAAAAAAAACAGGGGAAAATTCAGGAGAAATCCTCCGAAAAAGCTGTTTTTTTTAACGTTTTTCTTTTTCTCTTTGGTATGGGCTGTAATTTCTTGTGTTTCTTTTTTTTTTCTTTTTTTTTTGGAAAAATTTATACTGTACACGGACATGTAAACACATATATATACGTAAAAACACATATACACACACACGAATGTAGTCTAGTAGTGTGAGACCAACACTCCAGTTGGTCCTCTTTCTTTTGCTAAAGAGTTCGACATTATTATTATTATTTGCCTGTCTGAATGTCTATCTGTCGAATACAGAACTTCTTCAAAATTCTGAGTGATGATGACTCGAAGAACTCAAAAGAAAAAAAAATCACAAAAAAAAGCTTGATTTGTTTTTTTGTTTTTTCCTCTCGTTTGTCTGTCTGTCTGTCTGTTTGTTTTTTTTTTTCTTATGATAAAAAATAAAGAGATAGAGGTAGTCAGCCCTGCGAGTCGTTGTTCGGTTTCGCCTGGATTCATAGTATATTGTACTGACGTCACAACCAGACACTTTTGGTTCTCTCCCCCGTTGTTGGCGGATTAGCTAGCAACGTTCGGATGATTTGTAGTTCGGACTGAGACTTGATGATGTCAGGCCCGGATTGGTAGTTGCAGGACGCCCACTCGTGCCGTAGTAGTAAGAAGGATCTGAAATTTAAAATGAGATCCTCAGTTACGTTTGTAGCCATTGGGTGATGCGTGATTGTTAAAATGGGTTAAGTCAAATGGCCTTTTCTACAACGATTGCTTAAGTTATATTAAATTATTCTTAAGTTATCATATACTAAAATATATTTTCTTGTGTTTTACTAAGAACGAACTTAATTCTTTAATATTAAGTACATTTATGAAGCGTAAATATAGTAGCGGCATATTTAGACCCGTTTCTTTAAAAATTTCGCATTTTAATTTAAAATTTTTGATCAGATTTATTTATAACTATATCAGTAAGTGGTATAAATTAATATTTATACCTCTTATTGATATATTTATTATTTTTAAATAAAAAAAAACTAAGACGAATTTCATATATACATATAAGACGGAAGATTAAGTTCGATTCCCGTAAAATTTCGTTTCGTAGATGAAATTTTATCGAAAATAAATGTAAAAAACTAAATTTCAGATTTAAAAAAAACGCTTAATTTAACATCCGATAAACTTTAAAGACGTGCAATTAGCGTATCGTTAATAGCACATCAAATTCTCATCTTCTATCTTCTCTTTAGTAATTAATAGTAATTAACTTGATTAAAATATGTGCAAGGCACACTTCTCAACACGTTCTTTACCTTACAAACTACATAAAGACAGAGTAACAGGATGAATATTCACCAATACATACTGATGATCCCACCAGAACCATATCCATAAGCTCCGTATGCAGCTGCTGATGAATATTGGCTGTATGGAGTGGTGTAAGTATATTCTGTACCAGGAACTCCTGTAACAGTGGGCCCTGCTACTGCCGTTCCTGCAACTGTAGAAGGGAACGAGAACATCATCAATAACCTTTTACATCATCATTTTTTTCTACTCAAACCGATCATTAAATAGTCTAGTTCTATTCAACGACGAGCGGATGTAGACTTTTATTGTTTAAATTTTATTCAAAGAGTCGTTTTTTCTTGATAACTAAATGATTATTTTTTTTAATATAAATTTATACAATAAAAACACTAGAGATGTTCTTTAGAGAATTACACGTAATTAAGATTTAATTTCGCTTCCCAAACCAGTTTTAAGTGAAAGGTTTTATTTTTATTTATAAACCTCTGCTGTAGACTAAGGCCTGGAATTATGAGTCTATGGTTTAAGGCCTCGTATTTTTACATGAGGCGTTATTTGATGGAGAGAAAGGGCTTTTTTATAGGGTCACAATAAGACTAAGTAGGTAAGGAGTACCTATAATCAGCCCTTAAATACTTATGCACGTTCTGATTTACTAACTTAAAGATTAAATTTATTAAGCTGTTTCTAAGAAAATTTTCTCTTTAAAACCGGTTTTAATGTATTAAAAATCACCTTCAGACGTTAAATTTTTAATAAAATATGAATAATTAAGCATAAATTTACTTAAAAAATTACTGCTTTAACTCGTGTTAATTAATACAGAAAAGTACGCATTATACGTTCGATTTATCTGTAAAATTTGTGTATAAAAATCACAAGGATTTAATTACCAGGTCTAGATTTATCGTTAGAGAACCTACACTTGTCTAGACTGTCACACACATCTGAAGAAAACCATTAGGAACCACCAATAAATGAGCCCAAAGGGATAAGAGAAAACAAAGTAGGAAAATTAGAAGAAGAGAGAAAAAAGAAAAAAAAATAAGTTCGAATTATTTATAATCGTTCGTTTTACCTTACAATTCAAGAGACTAAACAGTAAATATAGCATTATTTTTGTTTTTGTTAGCAAAGTCAACAAAAACATCTGGCAGGATAAAGTAACAATAAGATAATAAAGATACGCCTATGGTATGTAAGAGAATGGAAAGAAGAAGATACAGGGGATGAATTCGTTCCTTGAAGCATGTTTAAAAAAAGAAAAATAATAAAGAAAAAAAAAATATATATATATATATTTATATATCNTATATATATATACATCGCTGAGATTCAATGTTAATTATGATCTAAATAGCATAGAATTATCATTTACTTCAATAAATAATTATCCTACAGATAGCTAGCATTTAACACACCTCTAATACTTTCAAATTTTAACAAATATTCCTATAGAAGCATCGCTGTATGAACTCGAAAATTATATTTTTTATCTTCAGTATCACATATTTATACTCTAAACTAGAAGTAATAAGTTATCTAGATATTCTGCTCCTATAATTCTAGGACTTTCAGGTCTTCCTAACCGCATGAGTATAAAAATAGAATTATAAGTGGCATAATCCTAATCCTAACTCTTAAATCTTAATTATATTATTTCTATAGTAGCATTTCATTATCCTTTAACTACTCTGTTCCTACAGATCCTGTTCTTCGGCCTTACAGCTACCTTTATCAGATTATCCTTAAAAATTACACGTATATACAACCTCATACTCCTATAGAAATATGCATTTTTTTATGCTTCTGGATGGTAGTATATACCTGTAGAAGCATAATTGTTACTTTAATAATGTATTTCTTTGTTTATTTAACAAATTTTGTATGTAAATTGACCATATTTTAATGCTATAACTCTATTATCTGTATAAAGATTCGTGAATACAAGTTTCTCCTTCTCATCTGTTAAGAGCGCCTGAATACTCCTATAGAAGTATACACCTTCTTACATGCAGTATATACCTTTAAAAGCATAATTAATAGCATATTTCCTCGTTTATTTAACAAATTACTATATAAATCGGCCGTATTTTTACATTGAAATGTCATTCTAGATTTCATTAAATCTCCATTATGCACGCATCTGTATACAGATTGTCGAATACAACAAGTTTCTCCTTCTTATCTAGTTTCTCTAAATACTCCCAAGAGGGTAGATTTTTCATAAAGAAGTATTTTTCGAAGGAAGAAATTCGAAACAACTTAAAGTAGCGTGTGGCAGCTGTTTGGACATTTGCCGTCGGTAATGGAAACGTTTGGTTCTTTCTAAGTGTCCCTTGGCAACAGTCAACTATCCCAATGGGTTACCAACTCCCTGTCTTTATCTAGTCTTCTTCCAGACATAAAACAAAAGAACTTCTGATGAAATTCCTCCTGATGTTGGTTGAGTCGATGGAGAACTGCTAGATTTAAACTTGGAATAAATTGCTTCTCTTCGATACTCTACCCCAGACCTCATAAAAATGGTACAGTTGAGGTCTCGCTCGAGATTCAAATTTAACTTTAAAGATTATTTTCTACATAAATCTTTTATGTTTCGAAGACAAAATTATTCTATTCTTTCTTCTCCTTTTTTTTCCTGTTTTTATATTCATTTTAGCATCCATCTTCTCATTAATCTGTCTGGCAGAATAGCTCAAATAACACCGAATAATTGTTTTATTCTAATTAATAAAGGATATAAAATTTAAATTTTGGTCTAAATTAAGAAATTGGACTTATAGGAACCTAAAAAAAAAAAAACTGCTTCAGAATTTCTGTGAAAGGGATGCAGATCTTAGCAAAAAGAGACAGAAAATCTGTTCTGTAAATGCTCCCGAAACTTACAGACTCATAGATAAAGGGTCTAGAAATCCTAAATTTTAGCATAAATCCGAAAAAAAACTGCTCTACAACATGAGTATTTTCCCTACAGACCCCTTATCCATCCTCCACTGCTTCGAACAGGGAATAAATCCCTAATCCTCACCTTATCAGCATTCGTCATCGGTTTTAATAACGGGAAGAGAAGGAGGAGGAACTAAAAAACACACACACACACACATACATACAAAGAGAAGAAGATCCACATCAGCGAGAAAGAGTCATCAATGTTAATTTATTCAACAGCACGATCCTCGAATATTGCTAATGGTGACAAAATGGCACATTTAACAGTCCATATTCCGACCACGCGACTTAAGCCCTATAGAGTGGAATGAAAATAGGGATCAGCTGGGTGCACACAGTGTGGCTAGCTGTGAGTGATGTGCCGGAACGAGGAAGTTGGCATCCGGCTAACCATGGACTAGAGTCAGGTGGCACACTACCGACTACTTGGGAATGGAACACACGTGTTAGATAAATGAGATCCGAGTTTTGGGATTTAGTTTGGTCACGAGTGACCGTGATCTGGCTGAGGGAAAGAGGGGAGGGAAGGAAAGATGAAGAAGAGAAAAAAAAACGTACGGTTTTAGTGATTGGAACAGCAAAATCCTACTGTCCACTGATGACAAAACAGTAGAACGGATGGGAGTGGACTGAAGAGAAAATTGTCTCCCTCTCTGATCGATGGCATCTCTCTCCTCTCTTATGATGTCCAATGATGTGACATTTTTCAAGTGGTAGCTCCTTACATGTTTGTCTTTTTGTGATATTGGATTTATAAAAGTGCATCTGGAATGGAATTCTTTCACCTTGTTGATGAAGTGGGAGGTGGTTTGCCTTCGTCTTTCTTTCTTTCTTCTTCTTCTTTTTTTTCTTAATCGATATATTAAGCTTTCACGTTTCAATTTTTATGTTATTTTCTGAGAAAAAATAATTTTTTATATTTATTATTTATACGTCTGTTTAGCTTTCATTCGTCATCTAAACTACATTAAAAATTACAATCTGTCTCTTACGAGAAGAGAGCATTGATGAATTATGTTTGAGAGCTTAAAATAGCGTTTATCTTCAGTAAAATGAATTATAAATCATCCCTTTAACTGAATTTAACTATAAATCATCCTTATCATCTAATAAACTTAGAAATTTATACGAGTTTAACTAAATAAATGCATTAAATTGTATCCATCTCGATTTGACTTTGATGAAAAATCCGCATCTTTTTTTTAATGATGTATACGATGATGATAGGATGATAAACTATTATAATTTTATTTAATTACCAG